TTTTTTTTTTTTTTTTTGTGGCCAACACCTGTAATGTAATATGGCAGATGTAAGATCTAGTAATTTACTTGAAATGTTGAAATGTTTTAGCTGTATATTTTTGTCTATTTGGAATGTCTTAGAATATCTGTTATAACTCTTATAAGAATGACTCTCTTTAATATTTGTACTGCATATTAGGAAGTAATCGATAAGTGACCATGAATAAAATTAATTAAACAAAAATGGTTAAAAACTCAAGTGAAGAAATAAAGAAATAAGAATGTGCAAATATGTTAATTAATGTTTGGATTTCTATCGGAGGCGGAACTCGTCCTATTAAAAGAAGACAGATAGTAAATTAATGCACTTTATATTCAACTTTATGGACACCTAGTAAATTATCGGTATTGTACCTTAATATTGAAAAGCAGCTTTCCTAACGTGTCAGCAAATGATAATTTCATTTCTTACAATACATGTATATTGGGAATTGTGCAATTTAATTAAAATTTGACAAGTTTTTCTAGAGTGGTGTTAACTAATTTTCAGTTGTCAGTTTGTCATTTTGTTGCTGAAATTTAAAACAAATGATATAATCACGAAAAAACACCTGTCCTTGAAACATTGTTGAAGGTCAAAAACTTCTCTTTCCTCTCCTCTGAGAAAAATAGACATTAAGACCAAATGTACGCAATAATACATACGATATTTTTATCACTGACAAGGTTGCCATTGGTACTGCATTCATTAAACGCCCTTTTCTGAATGGTGAACAGAAATAAATAAAATACACTCAATGAATTAAGACGTGAAAACCTTGTTATCCAGTATTTATGTTGCATTATTATTCTTTTTATACAGCCAAACAATTACCAGCTAGAATTTATTTTCTGTCCAACACTCCTACCATTTAAATCATACCAACGTACAAAATCGTCCCTGGAAATGTTTCGGTTCACCTTACCAAAATGATGGATTAGCTAAATAAACATTTAAGTAATAAAATGATATGACAGTTTTGTCTTTTGTTATTCAATTCCTCGGGTTAAAAATGCATTAGTTATAAAACTTCACCAACTAGAAATTTACAACTTAATGTCTCCCAGTAGTAACTGAAATATCTCTCTTTTAAAGAATTGAAACCATCGCTCAACTCAGTTCAGTTCGCCGTGAGATTTATTAGCTTGGAAAATTATCTTAAATTTTTTTTTTCTTAAATGTCCGAGCACCAATTGCAACCTTTGTGGTAGGGGAATGGAATCTCTATCAGAGGGTTTTGACTTGGGCGGATAAAAAGAATTTTGAGAATTAAAACATGTAGAATATAAAATATTTGAACTGATTGATAAAACTCCCTTCATTGGATCAAACGTGGAGCCTCACAATAGCGTTTTATTGCAATAAAATATCGTTCTTCACGGCCTACATGTCTACAACAAAATTGACCCAAATTGGACAAGTTCTGACCGATGCCAGGAATGCTATTCCAGATTGAGCTCTAAAAATCTATCCCAAAGATTTGCTTGCCGCTTGAAAGCGCTGGTAGCAGCCAGAAGAGGCCATCCGTAGCAGTGCACGTTACTGTGACTAGACACTGATATGAGGGTCCTTTGCGGAGTGTGTAACTTTTTTACAAACGATCCAAACTATCTATTTTAATGTTTGTCGTATGACATAGAATGGGTAATTTATTTTTGTTAGCTTCACTGGCGAATTCAATTAATGAACTGATGTCAAAGAGATAATTAAAAGTTATTAAACACGATTTTAATCCTAGGAAAAATGATGAAAAATGATTTGGAGAATATTCCATATTAAATGTTAGGTCTGTATTTTCTCTCAAAGTGAACTGGTGCAAACAGTATCACTGACGTATATCGTACAATGTGACAAGGTCATTGTACAGTACTATCATTACTCTGACTCATTCTCAAGCACTGGTCGTACTCTCTACCAGGGCAGCATATATAATAGGTTTTTTTTTTCAAAAGTCTCCCTGTAACTTTTGACCAGATGGAACCAGTTAAACCTGCACGTGAGCAGATTGCATTGTACCGCTCTGAAAGGAGCTTCAACAGGAGACTCCTTACTACCTTCAATATGAAGTAACAAGCTTTTCAGAATATGTTATTGAGATTGAGGTTTCATGACAAGGTAACAGAGAACCAAATTACATTCTACGGGGGTGTTTTTAAAGACATATATGTGAATATCTTGTGAAAAACCAATATTTCGCACTGGTAGAGTGTCTGTATGTTTTATGAATTCATCGAATTTAGGGTTTCAAGAATTCTTGGTTTATTTCTCCTGCAGGTTGGCAGCATTAGCACCCATTGTGAGAGGGTCTTTCTGTACAAAAAATGTCACCTGCTTAAAAGTTCAGCGGTATACGACTAAATGCGTTTGGTGGAAATGTATTCGTTACAGGTAAGAAAATTAGATAAGGTACCGGGTATATACTCAATAGCTGGACAGAAGAAAAAAGTAGTGGGCGAAAGACCATGCAGTTTGTGAAATACCAATTGACACTGGTCTCCGGGCAGGCAAACGTAAATACAAAATCTACTTCAAATCGAAATATTGGTTTAAATAGTAGTCGTTTTCACTTCTGAGCACTCAGGTGCCTTCGTTTGTAAAATAAATAATAAACCTACATTTATTTCAAATAATTATGATAATGAGTATAGTAGTGAGCATTATTAATAAAATCGGATTCTTTTTTATATAGAATTGTTACCTCATACTGTACCAAGCAGGTTTGTTGTGCCGGATGGGAGGGACCAGGTTGTAACCAAGGTATGTGGACTGATGGAGGAGTGTATCTAGTGTAAATTTCGTTTGAAAGCAGGTCCTTATTAACATGTTCGGGATTCAAAGATTGTGGAAATAGTCGATCCAACTAAGGTTGCTCACCAATGATCCGGTTCCGGTTCTAGGAATCATGGGAATGAATGTGTAATTTCATAATCCGCAGTGCAAGATTGATATCTAGAAGTGGTAGATTGAATAACAGGAGAGCTCTAATAGATAATACAGTATCAGAGTATGGATCCTGCTTTGTATGGAACATGAAGGGGAGGGCGTGTCCTACTGAAATATAAAATCATCAGTATGATTATAAGAAATGCAATAATAGTAACAATAATAATAACAATTACATAAATGCCATATTGGATATAACTTATATTAATTACGAGAACGTGAAGTGGAACACGTGAGGGGTAAGATTATCACATTTTTTAATAAGTGATAAAAGGGGGAAGGTGTGAAAAAGTAATATTTTTCTGAACACTGTCTTAATTGAAACCTCTCTGAAATTATGAAAGGTGTAACTCACGGAATGACTATTTAGTACTACTTGTGCTGACTTTCTCATAGCAAATCAGACTCTAAAGAATGAACTATGAACCGTCCTTTTTGCCTGGAAATGATCCATTTTGGGTAAAAGGTGATCCAGGCCCATGGACGTATTTGGTTAAAATACCCGCTTTTGAAATCGCTGGTTTCGGACCTGTACGTTCTCACTAACTATAAAATTGTCTAGAGTATCTTCCAATCTCTACCCTGAACATGTATGAGTAAAATATTGTAAGAGCAATGTAGCAGCCAATCAGAGACCGTGGTATAAGCATAATACAGCATTCGTCACCGAGCTAACTCGGGTATTGTCTAGCCTGGAGCTCTACAACACACCAAATATTCCACGTATAGCCCAATGACTCATAGTATATCTATGGCGTACATGTATATATATGCATTACAGATGTAGATGAATGCAGCATCAATAACGGAGGCTGTGTACATGTTTGTATCAATCTACCTGGCTCCTTCCGGTGTGAGTGTGACTCGGGATACCAGCTGAGACAAGACGGTATTACGTGTGAAGGTCAGTCCACTTATGTTATACATTTAGGCACGCTGCTGACGTCATTTCGATATTATAGTGACGTCACAATAATCTTTTGCCGTCGTAATCACGTGTAATTGGCATTGTTTTCCTGCATTTCAGAAGTTACTTATTTCCTTTTTAGAAAACTATAAAATTATTTTACTAGTATGTCACCTGTTGTTATCTCAACCCCCTACGGCCAAATTACATATTATTTTATTCTGGCCCATGATACCTGGAACATGATACGTCAAACTAATACAAGTATCAGCACATCATTCAAACGACTGCGCATGCGCGAAATGTGTGCTGTTTGAAATAAACGAATGGTGAAATTGACAAAGCCTAATCGGTGTATACCGTCTGGTTGATCTTATTTAATTTGCCTTTTGTTGTCGTTTTGGGGAATCACATTTTATAAAAATGGTGGAATTGGCTAAATCAAATTACATCTTGGTTACCATTGGCATTTTCAGTAAAAAAAAAAAATAAAAAAATAAATAAATAAATAAATCAAATAGGCCTATCATAAGAAAACCGCCGTATTTGGCCTTTTTGTTAGATAAATTGATATTTTTTTAGAATTTCTAGGCTAAAAACACCAGAATTGTCTGGTCTTCATATCAATGCACTACGTATTTTTAGGGTGCTACAAATATTTCGTTTCTGATGCATTACAGATGTAGATGAATGCAGCATCAATAACGGAGGCTGTGCACAGGGGTGTAACAACCTACCTGGTTCCTTCAGGTGTGAATGTGACTCGGGATACCAGTTGGGACAAGACGGTATTACGTGTGAAGGTCAGTCCACTTATGTTATACATTTAGGCACGCTGCAGCCTCGGGACGTCATTTCGACGTCATGCTGTCGTCACAACTTTTTGAGGACATAACATGCAAAATAACATTGCCTGTCTGCATTACTTAAGGTACCCATTCTCCCTTTTTAAATACTTTCGTTGCGTATAAATATCACCTGTTGTGCCGTCAACTTGATTCTGGCCTAGTTACTAGTTACATGTGCACCCCTGCCACTTCATTAAAACCTATCCTATACTTAACATTTAACACTTTATATTTAGATACCGCCTTGGAAGAAAGGGTATGCGGATACTTGATGTTTTATA